AACTATGGGTAAAAAGTCCATTACGGGCTCACCTGGGGCCACCTGGGGCCACCTGGGGCCACCTGGGGCCACCTGGGAACACTGGGGCCACCTGGGGCCACCTGGGGGCCACCTGGGCCACCTGGGGCCACCTGGGGACCACCTGGGGCCACCTGGGACCACCTGGGGCCACCTGGGGCCACCTGGGGACCACCTGGGGCCACCTGGGACCACCTGGGGCCACCTGGACCACCTGGGGCCACCTGGGGCCACCTGGGACCACCTGGGGCCACCTGGGGCCACCTGGGGCCACCTGGGGACCACCTGGGGCCACCTGGGACCACCTGGGGCCACCTGGGGCCACCTGGGGGCCACCTGGGGCCACCTGGGGCCACCTGGGGCCACCTGGGACCACCTGGGGCCACCTGGGGCCACCTGGGGCCACCTGGGAACCACCTGGGCCACCTGGGGCCACCTGGGGGCCACCTGGTGCCACCTGGGACCACCTGGGGCCACCTGGGGACCACCTGGGGCACCTGGGACCACCTGGGCCACCTGGGGCCACCTGGGGCCACCTGGGGGCCACCTGGGGCCACCTGGGCCACCTGGGACCACCTGGGGCCACCTGGGGCCACCTGGGGCCACCTGGGGACCACCTGGGGCCACCTGGGGCCACCTGGGACCACCTGGGGCCACCTGGGGCCACCTGGGGCCACCTGGGGCCACCTGGGGCCACCTGGGGCTCCCAGTAGGTGAATCTATAACAACAACAACATGTTTAAGGTTGTCAGAGTATGTGTTGTTATGGACGATCATTAATTCCAGTTCTTTAGTTGTCTTTCAATTTGAGAGAGAGAGAGAGAGAGAGAGAGAGAGAGAGAGAGAGAGAGAGAGAGAGAGAGAGAGAGAGAGAGAGAGAGAGAGAGAGAGAGAGAGAGAGAGAGAGAGAGAGAGAGAGAGAGAGAGAGAGAGAGAGAGAGAGAGAGAGAGAGAGAGAGAGAGAGAGAGAGAGAGACAGACAGACAGACAGACAGAGACAGAGAGAGACAGAGAGAGACAGAGAGAGACAGAGAGAGACAGAGAGAGAGAGGAGAGATAGAGGAATGGAGAAAATTAAACTGTTATAAGAGAAGATTGTACGGTTAAAAGAAAAGGAGCTAGAGGAAAAAAAAAGAGATAGTATGAAAGGAGAATTAAAAAGTGGAAGAGAAAGGATTGCTGTCACTATCCTTTAAAACATGATAGACAACAATAGAATCATCTTTCACACTCGTCATCACTATCTATTATACCTTCAGTACTGAAGAGCATAAGAAGAACTCAGTGAGATTCCTGAACTCTCTCCAAAGGATACCTGATCAACCAGGCTGTGACTCATACGTCAGGCTGCAAGCAGCCGCGTCCAACAGCCTGGTTGATCAGTCCGGCAACCAGGAGGCCTGGTCGACGACCGGGCCGCGGGGACGCTAAGCCCCGGAAGCACCTCAAGGTAACCTCAAGGTAAGGTACAGCATAATTTTTTTTATATATACAAGGGTCGTTACATTCTTGTACAGCCACTAGCACGCTTAGCGTTTAGGGCAAATCCTTAATCTTATATTCCCTGGATTACGACACGCCAAATCGTTTAAGAACCCATTTTACTGCTGGGTGAACAGAGGCTAGAGTTATTAAGGATTGGCGCCCAGTACATCCTCCCCGGCCAGGATACGAACCCAGGACAAAGGGCTCACGAAATGCCCGGCGAGTGTCTTACTACTACACCACAGGGACGGCTTGCGTATCAATCGTAATTCGTATTTACGATAGTTACGCATCAATCCAATCACAGCTCATCTCCTTTCATCTGAGACAATCGTAAGACACCATTAACATTCGACATATTTAGTTCTCATGGATTATTGACCGTACATGTGCTGATATCAAAGACCAAAATGGGTAAATTCACTGAGAGGAACAGACCACACACTAGAAGGTGAAGGGACATTCTCAAGTCGATTCACTATCGACATGAGAATGGTCCAGGACGGACCGAAACGTCGCCGTCCCTTCACCTTCTAGTGTGTGGTCTGGTCAACATAATTTAGCCACGTTACCTGGTTGATACCTGGTTGATGGGGTTCTGGGGGTTCTTCTACTCCCCAAGCCCGGCCCGAGGCCAGGCTCGACTTGTGAGAGTTTGGTCCACCAGGCTGTTGCTTGGAACGGCCCGCAGGCCCACATACCCACCACAGCCCGGTTGGTCCGGCACTCCTTGGAGGAATAAATCTAGTTTCCTCTTGACCGTACTGTTGACCGTTGTGACTCATCGCCTGCACTGAGAGGAAGTTGAGAAAAAACTGCTCGAGTGATTGTCCCGGACACGTTCACGAAAACTTGTAAATGGGAACCACATAAAACTTGTAAATGGGAACCACATAAAACTTGTAAATGGGAACCACATAAAACTTGTAAATGGGAACCACATAATACAATTCCTGACTAACAAGAGTCATTGTAGTCTGAGATAATGAGTCGACTGGATGGGGGGTAGGACAAGGCTTCAGACGCCTCCTCCATCTCTCTACCTCTGGGAGTCATCTGGGAGCCCAGGAGCTAAGCCACACACACACACGAGGTAAGCCACAGAATCCACATGTTCCATGAGGGAGCCGGTCGGCCGAGCGGACAGCACACTGGACTTGTGATCCTGTGGTCCTGGGTTCGATCCCAGGCGACGGAGAGAAACAATGGGCAGAGTTTCTTTCACCCTATGCCCCTGTTACCTAGCAGTAAAATAGGTACCTGGGTGTTAGTCAGCTGTTACTGCTTCCTAAGGGTGGAGGCCTGGTCGAGGACCGGGCCGCGGGGACACTAAAAAGCCCCGAAATCATCTCAAGATAACCTCAAGATAACCTCAAGATAACCTCAAGATAACCTCAAGATAACCTCACACACGAGGTAAGCCTGAGGCCACGTTACTACACAAGCCATGAACAGTCGTCGGGTCGGGATGAGGTCAGGCAGATTGGCACAGGCGACAGCAATTATCCAATTATAACGAGTTGTGGTGTCATAAATATGTGGGTCCTCGTGACCCGCCTTCTTGGGTCAAAGTGCAAAGGGCAATTGAGTAGATTAAAGGTGTGAGTTACCATTGGCTAACGTCAGGTTGTGTCTCACCACTAGTTGCCTCTAGTGCTGCATTCAACGTGAGAGAGAGAGAGAGAGAGAGGGAGAGAGACTGAGAGAGAGAGAGAGAGAGAGAGAGAGAGAGAGAGAGAGAGAGAGAGAGAGAGAGAGAGAGAGAGAGAGAGAGAGAGAGAGAGAGAGAGAGAGAGAGAGAGAGAGAGAGAGAGAGAGAGAGAGAGAGAGAGAGAGAGAGAGAGAAAACGTGTGCGCAGAAAGAAAGCTAAAATTAACGAAGCGTAGAATGTAGAGAATGACAAATTATCGTTGACAGCTGAACACAAAACGTCGAGGCTGTCTAATGTCGCCTCGGCCACAAAACAACAACAAGAGGGTCAGCAGCACAATAACCCGGCGACACATTCCTTGACAATAACCCTTGTCAAGCCTGCCCCCCCCCCCCCCCCCCAACACCCCCCCCCCCCCTTCCTGGAGCCCTGTGTAAAGCACTCATTAATTCTGGGTCATATATCAAAGAGTTCCCGCCCTCGATTCACCCCCTTTCCCTTGATATCCTACCTACCCCCCCCCCCCTCTCCCCCCCACACTCCCCCCCCCCTTTGCACTCTCCTCTACCCACGAAGTTCCCTACTCCCCACATTTATCCCCCCATTCCTCTCTTCCCTTTCCTGTATAATACCTTCCCGTTTGGGGTGGGAACCTCTTCCCATCCCAAACGGAATGTAAACTTGTATGAATGTAATAACACATAGAAGCATTATCTTATACAAACTCGCCCATACAGGTTGCAAGGCGAGGTATCAATACTTAAGTGATGTTGGATACTAGCTCTTGGGCCCCAACAACGTCATAGTAATACCGGCCTCTTGGGACGACAGTAGCAGTAAGATCAATGAAGAGTATTTGTATCCACTTGAGTGTATGAAGAAGAGGTGCACAACTTCCTATTCTACCATCCACTTACCGGCTGTGTTATCATCCTCCTATCCCTATTATCCTCCTATCCCTATCATCCGCCTATCCCTATCATCCGCCTATCCCTATCATCCTCCTATCCCTATTATCCTCCTATCCCTATCATCCTCCTGACCCCCTCCCCCCTTATCAACGATCTTCTCTTACGAGTGGCTTAACCCGCCAAACACACACCGAAACTACGACGTTGGTACAACGTTCGAGCAAGTTTTAACACCTCCTAACCAGTTATAACAACCAATATAGCAAGTTGTAACAACGTTCTAATACGTCATAAACACGTTAAGCCAAAATGTAACAACTTTATTACAAGTTGTAACAAGCGGAAAATAGAGACAGTTTCGGTTTGTGTTTCCAGGGTTAAGTCTTGACCGATTTGGACAGTTATTCCCCTTGAGCTCTGCCTGAGACCAATTAAGCTTGTCTGGTGATAACTTGATCGGTAAGGCTGTTGCTGCCCGCGGCCTGCACGGCTCGCATATATCCATCACAACCCGGCTGATCTGGCATTATCTCCGCTCAAATGTTTCAGCGAAAGTTTCAACTTTTGTTCCGGCCATATTACCGATATTTACGGAAAAACTTTGAAATATTGATGGCCTCTGGCGGCTTCTGATGGCCTCTGGTGGCTTCTGATGGCCTCTGGTGGCTTCTGATGGCCTCTGGTGGCTTCTGATGGCCTCTGGTGGCTTCTGATGGTCTCTGATGCCTTCTGATGGCCTCTGGTGGCTTCTGATGGCCTCTGGTGGCTTCTGATGGCCTCTGGTGGCTTCTGATGGCCTCTGGTGGCTTCTGATGGCCTCTGGTGGCTTCTGATGGCCTCTGGTGGCTTCTGATGGCTTCTGATGGTCTCTGATGCCTTCTGATGGCCTCTGGTGGCTTCTGATGGCCTCTGGTGGCTTCTGATGGCCTCTGGTGGCTTCTGATGGTCTCTGATGCCTTCTGATAGCCTCTGAGGGCTTCTGATGGCCTCTGATTGTCCTGATGGACACACAACTCTTCGAAGGTAACTGGGACGCTGGGACCAGTCCCCTGGGGCGATAGATTTGTAACTATTCGGCTGATAGATAGATGATCACACTACATTCACACCTGACCAGTGGTGGTGATTGTGGTGATAGCCGTAGCTCTCTCCTACAATCATCACCACAACAATCACCCACATTGGTAACAATAACCATCACGCTGCACAAACAAGCAACATGTATCAAAAGCACACCCCTCCTCCTCCTCCCGTAATCGCCAGGCTAGGCTCGTTCAAGCGGCGGCCAATTACCCCCAACGAAGCATTTACTAATTTGAAAGTAACCAACATAATCCATTTTTACCCGTAAATAAATATATTTTATCATAAATTAAAATTATGCATAATTTGGCGTAGGTTAGATTAGGTGTTTAGGTTCTAATTATTTCTATATGTAATGCGTGGGTGAAGCATTTATAGCAACCCGTCCACGACTCAAGTCCATTCCATCCAGCGGTCGACCCCCACAGACGCATTCATAAATGTCAACATACTATTCATTCAAAACGGGAATTTTCTCAACTATAAAATAATATTATAATATATTAGCATATTAGGCATATATAAGCATAGGTTAGGTTAGGTTAGGTTAGGTTAGGTTAGGTTAGGTTAGGTTAGGTTAGGTTAGGTTAGGTGTTTAGGTTCTGTTGGCGATTATTTGTATTTGTAGTACGTGGGTGAAGCATTTACAGCGTTGTGGTTCGAACACAAGTCGTCAGTGAAGCACTTGTTCCGGAAGTGTTCGGACGACAGCAGTTGTGAGTCGTGTGTAAACCGTTTTTCATATATAAACAGTTGGGGTTTGGCGGGTGGATGGAATGGACTTTGGGTCAGAGTTTATGAGGCCGGTCAGTGTATATGAGGCCGGTCAGAGTTTATGAGGCCGGTCAGTGTATATGAGGCCGGTCAGTGTATATGAGGCCGGTCAGTGTATATGAGGCCGGTCAGTGTATATGAGGCCGGTCAGTGTATATGAGGCCGGTCAGTGTGTATGAGGCTGGTCAGTGTATATGAGGCCGGTCAGTGTATATGAGGCCGGTCAGTGTATATGAGGCCGGTCAGTGTATATGAGGCCAGTCAGTGTTTATGAGGCCGGTCAGTGTATATGAGGCCGGTCAGTGTATATGAGGCCGGTCAGTGTATATGAGGCCGGTCAGTGTATATGAGGCCGGTCAGTGTTTATGAGGCCGGTCAGTGTATATGAGGCCGGTCAGTGTATATGAGGCCGGTCAGTGTATATGAGGCCGGTCAGAGTTTATGAGGCCGGTCAGTGTATATGAGGCCGGTCAGAGTTTATGAGGCCGGTCAGTGTTTATGAGGGCCGGTCAGAGTTTATGAGGGCCGGTCAGAATTTATGAGGCCGGTCAGTGTATATGAGGCCGGTCAGTGTATATGAGGCCGGTCAGTGTTTATGAGGCCGGTCAGTGTTTATGAGGCCTCTCCTCCGGGGGGCCACCAGAAGCACTCATATAACAGTAACCAATCAACCCTCATAACCTCATAAATCAACTCATCTACCGTCATGCGACTTAAGAACCAAAATAGACTGTAGCGAGTGTCAATACCTGGACCTTTGACTAATGCCTCTGGCACCCAACTCACAAGCTGACTCATATATGTAGTGGAGCAATTAACAGCATATTTACTCAAATATATATATAAATATACTAATACATTTTTGGGTTTATCTCTTAGATGTAACGTAAAAATAATTTTCCGGTTCGTCCAACTCGATCATTAGTTCAGATTTCTACTTTCTAATTTCGTTGTACGTCGGTGTATATATATATATATATATAAATATATATATATATATATATATATATATATATATATATATATATATATATATATATATATATATATATATATATATATATATACTGCACGAGCTGGTTCTAGTAGATATTGAGGGAAGTAGATATTGAGGGAAGTAGATATTGTGGGAGGTAGATATTGAGGAGGTAGATATTATGGGAGGTAGATAGTGAGGGACGTAGATATTGTGGGAGGTAGATATTGAGGGAGGTAGATATTATGGGAGGTAGATATTGAGGGAGGTAGATATTATGGGAGGTAGATATTGTAGGCGGTAGATATTGTGGGAGGTAGATATTGAGGGAGGTAGATACTGAGGGAGGTAGATACTGAGGGAGGTGGATATTATGGGAGGTAGATATTATGGGAGGTAGATATTATGGGAGGTAGATATTGTGGGAGGAAGATATTGAGGGAGGTAGATATTATGGGAGGTAGATATTGAGGAGGTAGATATTATGGGAGGTAGATATTGTGGGAGGAAGATATTATGGGAGGTAGATATTGAGGGATGTAGGTATTGTGGAGGAAGATATTATGGGAGGTAGATATTGTAGGAGATAGATATTGAGGGAGGTAGATATTGAGGGAGGTAGATATTGAGGGAGGTAGATATTGTGGGAGGTAGATACTGAAGAGGTAGATATTGTGGGAGGAAGATATTGAGGGAGGTAGATATTGTTGGAGGTAGATATTGTGGAGGTAGATATTATGGGAGGTAGATATTATGGGAGGCAGATATTGTGGGTGGTAGATATTGTGGGAGGTAGATATTATGGGAGGTAGATATTGTTCTTTCAATGTTTATAATTTTGAAGAAAGACAAATGACTAACCTTTCCTTCCTCCCCCTCCCCTCCCCTCCCCCCTCTCCCCCCTCTCCTCCCTCTCCCCCCTACCCACCCACAACCCCCCACCTTCACCACGACTACCACCATCGCCACCAACACTACCACCATCGCACCACCACCACCACAACCCTACAAAAGTCTTCTTCTATCGCTTTCCTGCATTCCTCCACTGCCCAGACTTTTCTCATCAATGAGAAATGATCGTCAGTCCTGAGTCAGATCTTTAAGGGACGCTAGCCTGCCTTATATGCGATTTCTCGTCTCTCATTATTACTTTCTGACTCCTGTCTGTTAGGTACTCTCCCCACGATACAGAATTTCGGCAGTCACTCCCGCCTGTTTCTCAGTTTTGTGTCTCTTTTAAGGGGAACTGTGTTAAAGACTCTTCGGAAGTCTAGAAATGTGTAGCCTACCCATCTTTATGTAATCTAATTGGTGTTATTTTCTAGTAGGCACAAATAGGTGAACACACATATACGCAGGCACGCACGCACGCACGCGCGCACACACACACACACACACACACACACACACACACACACACACACACACACACACACACACACACACACACACACACACACACACACACACACAGTTACACACACATACACATCCATACACACAGAGGTAAATCCATCAATGTGTAAGCAAATGAAACGTCCCGTTTAGCTCTGAACATTACTCAGGATTAGTGCATATATATAATGTCGAGCTTAAGTCTTATATAACCCTCTTGAGAGGTTATTAAGGCCAATTAACATCTGAAGGGTTGTGACGAACCATCAACATGTGGAGGGATAAGACCACCGCAACACCTAACTACCCCAACCTATCAACCCTACTCTAACTCTTGACACAGCTCACCAGCTAAATTAACCTTACTGTGTAAACAACACAGAGAACTGGTGTAAAAAAGCTCCATGTACCCTTGACCCTGAAGATTCTGACAGTCTGCTGACCTGAAACCACAAATACAGGTCGTTGTTATAGCTTCAGCACATTCCTGAGTGGTACAGGATGGGGTATGGGGTCCACTACCACTCACAGGATGGAGTATGTGGTCCACTACCACTCACAGGATGGAGTATTGGGTCCACTACCGTCCACAGGATGGAGTATGGGGTCCACTACCATCCACAGGATGGAGTATGGGGTCCACTACCGTCCACAGGATGGAGTATGTGGTCCACTACCATCCACAGGATGGAGTATGGGGTCCACTACCACTCACAGGATGGAGTATGTGGTCCACTACCATCCACAGGATGGGGTATGGGGTCCACTACCATCCACAGGATGGAGTATGGGGTCCACTACCACCCACAGGATGGGGTATGTGGTCCATTACCACTCACAGGATGGAGTATGTGGTCCACTAAACATCCACAGGATGGGTATGGGGTCCACTACCATCCACAGGATGGAGTATGGGGTCCACTACCACTCACAGGATGGAGTATGTGGTCCACTACCATCCACAGGATGGGGTATGGGGTCCACTACCATCCACAGGATGGAGTATGGGGTCCACTACCACCCACAGGATGGGGTATGGGGTCCACTACCACCCACAGGATGGGTATGAGGTACACTACCAGCCACAGGATGGAGTATGGGGTCCACTACCATCCACAGGATGGAGTATAGGGTCCACTACCACTCACAGGATGGGTATGGGGTCCACTACCACCCACAGGATGGGTATGGGGTCCACTACCACCCACAGGATGGAGTATGGGGTCCACTACCACCCACAGGATGGGTATGGGGTCCATTACCACACGCAGGATGGGTATGGGGTCCACTACCACCCACAGGATGGGTATGGGGTCCACTACCGTCCACAGGATGGAGTATGTGGTCCACTACCATCCACAGGATGGAGTATGTGGTCCATTACCACTCACAGGATGGAGTATGTGGTCCACTACCACTCACAGGATGGAGTATGTGGTCCATTACCACTCACAGGATGGAGTATGTGGTCCACTAAACATCCACAGGATGGGTATGGGGTCCACTACCACCCACAGGATGGGTATGGGGTCCACTACCATCCACAGGATGGAGTATTGGGTCCACTACCACTCACAGGATGGAGTATGGGGTCCACTACCATCCACAGGATGGAGTATGGGGTCCACTACCACCCACAGGATGGGTATGGAGTCCACTACCACTCACAGGATGGAGTATGTGGTCCACTACCACTCACAGGATGGAGTATGGGGTCCACTACCATCCACAGGATGGAGTATGGGGTCCACTACCACTCACAGGATGGAG